CTACCTTTCAATATTTCAACAACACATTCTACTTACCAACGCCCTATAGATATATAAAAGTTCTGCTATCTACAGGATGTGTCACAACTACAATAAAGTTGTTAAAATTATAAATATATTTTCCTGTAAAAAAGGTGATGTAAAAAATTAGTAGAGGGTAGATCTTGAATTTTCACACAGTGATCCGAAAAAAAGAAATGCGTTGCATTATAGCTCTCCGTAATAGGACATGTTTGTGAAGAGACGCAAATAATAATAACAACAACAATTGTTGTTGTCATATTTAATAATCACACAGCATTTTTGATTTATTTCAGCGTCACTGCTTTCTAAACCTGTTCTTTTTAATGGATTTTGACGATGCATTACCCTGTAAACACTAAAACAACTAGGTAGGTACGTCTTCGTTGTAGTGGGAAACCACATTCTTTGAACTGTATGACCACTATGGGGTGCAACCTTTCGAAAAAGTGTGTAAATTACGTAAATACGCATTATTTCTTTTCTTTGGCCGTATTTATGTAAACTTGAAAAAGGGTAAGCAATGATTTTCCTTCTTACGAACATTATTTTTATTATTATTATTATATACACTCTTGCTAAACGTGTTTCGACCGGATAAAATATTGGTCATCATCAGCTTTTCGGTGTGTATGCAACAAGTAGCTCACCTACACGAAATAACAAAATGGCTGCACATTAACAGTTTTGGCAGCCAATTTTGTTTTTATATATTTTAAACACGTATTTTTATTTGCTTTATTTGATTTTAACATTTTCCAGACACACCGAATCGACACCAGGCACGTAACCAAGGGGAGGCCTGGGGGGACACAGGCCACCCCAGCAAAACCCTGTGCCACCCCTGGTGCCCCTTAAACTAATTTTAAATTTTAAATGTAAAGCAAATTCGAAATTTCTGATCAACAGTAAATTTTAGCTATGAGTAATCTTATGTTCTTATCTTGTAATTTAACTCTCTGAGTAAAGCGATACTGCTGTGAACAGTTTTGTCAATAACTTTTTTAAGCAATTAGCCGATACAACTGATATGCCTTTTACACACTGTGCAGATTGGCACGCAGGCTTTGAATGAATTCTCATAGTGTTAGTCAATTTCAACTATTTGCACCCCATTAAATTTATATACCGGTTGTGATCCAAGTAAAATGTTTAAAGCCCCCCTTATTTGAAATTAGTGTCCGGGCTAGGCCCCTCCAAAATAAAAGGCTGGTTACGTGCCTGGTTGACACATATGTAGCAACAGTGTTCATAATAATAATAAAAATGATGTTCGAAAGAAGGAAAATCGTTATCCTTTTGCAAGCTTTCGAAAAAGTGATAATCTCAAGTTGGCTTAAAATATCTGTAAGTAAGTGGCCAAAACTTACAAAGTAAGCTTTCACATTTCTGTATATGGATTTATTGAAAAGCAAAATATGTTTCTGTGTTCTTAACATGACTTTTATAAAATTCAACTTACATTCATTAAATATTATCCAGAAATAACTCCTACCGTACCGATTACAACAATTACTTCTGTAGAGCAATATTTCAAATTAAAAATACATTCGGAAGAAATTCTACAGATATTTAACTTGTACAAATACAATACCAATTAATCAATGGGTTTCGAAATTCACAAGAACTTCGAAGCTTTCTGGTAAAAACTTCGATCTCCGAATTTGAGTAAAATGTTTTTTTTCATTAGTGGATATCCCACATCTCTTCTTTTGAAAGTCCGTCAATGAGCGGCTCTCACATCTTATAATGCTTGACGATTTGAAGAATGCCAATAATAGTATGTAAAACACAATCCCCAGGATGAAATATTATGCATAATTTTTGAGTCAACAAACACCTATGTTTTTATTAACTTATTACTACAATACTTAACCAATTTATGATGAACCCATTCATTTTCAAGATTTTTAGCAAACGGAACAATCTCCATATTTAAAACTAAAAAACAACAAGACAAAAAAACTATTAACATTGTATTCACTCAGACATCGTGAGCACCGAGTCAAAATAATGTAGGTGTATCAAAAGTTATCAAAATATTTTATAAATAGTACCTACATGAGACGATGAGAGTAATATATTCTGTCCTTAGACTTTTTATAATTTCTTTATACTCCTAAAAAAATTTGTTCGCCTCTAATATGAAGTTCTCACTTCTCAGCTATCATTAGAAGGTGCAGCAATGCTTTAATTTGAGAGTTTTTACTTGTTTATACTAAATGGTGGTCAAAGGAATAATTTTGGAAATTACTAGATGCGGGATTGGATTGTGATATGTATGACAAGTCAAATATGTATATGTGGTTGTATATGTATTGTATGAGTGTTCAACTGAAAAAGTCATCAATCCGGTGAAGTATTTCTACAATAAACCTAAAATTTAGTAGATGACAGCTGATACACAGAAATGTCAGTTATACACAACAGTATGGGTTAATAAAACACATGCGTTTTTCACTACATTTTCTTCTAACAAAAAACCAAGGTCAACTTGATAACTTTTTCAACTAAACACATGTTCTATCTCTGTCTTTTTTTGATGCATCACTTTTGGTAACTTTTGGACAAGAATTGTTTTGTTATTTTGATGACATTTATAACATATTCGTCGTTTGTACCATATACTAAGATTGTAAAAGAAGGTAAGATATGTACGTACCACTCTTACTTTGTCTGATGATACACCATTTAAATTCCTCTGTGTTCTCCTATATGAAAAATATTAAATTTTACAGGACTATTTTTTTTAATTCGAAGGTAAAAAACCTCGTTTTCTAAAGATGTTAAGTTAGGAGGTATTGTCATATCACCGACGATATATTAAGGAAGAAGCAATATTCCTAACACTATATTTATTCGTCCATGGCACCTGTCTAGAAACCTTAGCATATAATAATCGGTGGAAATTAATTTATTATAACAGCGTTTTATGCTTATTTGTAAAGGTAATTGTGAATTACAATTACTCAGAGTGTACTTTACTTTGTGTAGAAGTTTTTCTTCATACTGGCATAAACTAACAATAAAGAAACTTACCACAACAAAATACTAATAAGAATAAGTTCTAGTGGATTAATTGTAATATCGTACTATAAATTAAAGTTAAATGAACAACAGCTGAAATGTGTCTATTGAATATTAAAATTTACCTCTAATATTCTGCGTAATCAAGTGCACTATTTGTGATAAGTACTAATTTTTTTTTTTTAATTTCTTAGTGTAAATTTCATCAGTTTATTTTGAGATCTCTTACACTAATCTCTGCTAATTCTATTTTGGAAAACAGTATTGGATTTTTGTGGGTCGAGTCCTGGTATGTAGTTGGGTTCCAATTATATAAAAGATATCCTGAGGTCCAATAATTGTTTTCCCATTCGCCTTCAAGTGGATAAATCCTTTTAAAAAACACCTATTGGCCACCAGTTCACACAGGTAATAGCATTGTGGAAACCCGGTATTTTCAAAAAAGACGTGAGGTATTGGGGGACACCCGAATTGAAAGAAGTTGGTTATGCTTGTACATAATTTATGAAATAGTACAATAAAATAAATGAAGGAATGGTAATAAAAATGTAATAATAATTAAAAAATATATACATATTAACTATGATTGCAAACTCAATCGGTACATACAGTCATAGAAATTATTACTTTACAATAACTGAAATATGATACAGATTCAATTTTGTTCAAATATATGTCAAGAAGACTGCAACGATAATTGTATTGTATCTTGTTGTACATATAATACCTGAGTTTATCATTAGTATCGTCAAATTCTAGTGAATTACTATCACAATCCATTATTTATTGATACTTATTAACAATTACTAAAGAAAAGAAAATATCTAACGTTCGCGGTTTGTAAAAACACAAAACAGTTGGAGAGAAACAGTAATAGTAATAGTATTCGGGAGCAGTGCAAGATACTATAGCAATTATGGCTAGCTCTACTCTGTCAAGTAGCGCTGCGAGCCGTGCGATAAAAAACTTCGTTCCAATAAAAGTTACAGATTTGGGGTCACTTTTGATATCAAAGATCGGTAAAAATTAGTTTAAGAATAAAAAAAAAAACAAAATAAACGCTTTCTTTTAACAGTTGCTAACTTTCAGTGTGCATCTATCTCTTTGTAAACACGAAATGTAGACTGGCCGCCATTACGGGGCGATTTCCATTTTCCCGAGTTCCCCCGCTTTAAGAATAATAGTGGAATACTGATATTATAGTCAGGTTAATAATTAATTCAAAGCTCTTTCAGAAAGTTTATTAGATGTCCTGATTATTATTTCAGAGGTTACCTAGCACAAACGTCCAGTTTCAGTTGTATGTATTTCAGAGTAAATTGTTTACTTTCCATTACGTTATATCTTTACCTATACGATGTGGAACTGTGTCTATTTACAATGTCCTATGAATTCTGTTCAAATAATATCACGTCTGACCACTATTTACATTAATCTCTGCCCTCCACTTCATTAATTTCCAAAACCTAATCAAGACAATCACTTTAAAACTCAATATAACCCATAATACGGTAACGTTTTCTTTAATAATACCACAACTCAAAGAGATAACATGATAAAACGTCTATATATTATTTAATCGTGTACCAACTGATTCTGTATATTGACCAAAATAATGTGTAAACAGAATATCAATACTAAATCCATTTGATACACTGTTCGAAGATGAAAGGAACTTGCAGATCGTATTTAGCTAGAGATTGTAAAGTTTACATATCCGTCAAGCTTGGCAAATATAAACAGTGGCGCAAGGCCCTTGACCATCACACAGATCATCCATCAGTCAAGGATAAACGGTTTACATTAATAACACGTATCTAAACTACCCCTAGTTAGTTTCTGCTTTAAAGAGAATTGATAACGTATGTTTGTTTTTGCCTACCTATCTTCTACAAACCAAATGTTTGGTTTCTGCCTACAGGTTCTTAAGCTACAAATTCAAAACGTTCCTCTAGGAATAATACAGTTTATTGTTATGGGAAAATTAAAACAATGCTAAATTACAAAAAGATTTCACTATAAATAAATTACTTATGAATACTTGCTTTTAATTAACACTAAACGTTGTTCGGAGACTTTCCTCACCGTGGCCGCCGAGCTTCTGATGGTTGTCTCTGAAAAACAAATACTTCACGTTAGAAAAACATAATGTACAGGTGGAGTACTTGACAATACTATAACAATAACTGTTTAAAACAAACTCCATGAAATCTACGTCTACAGTATTGTTGAAACCAACATTTGACTACAATCATCATTGTCATCTTACCAATTAAAAAAGAAAGTTACAGGAAAAATTCGACTTTCCAAAGATATTAGGAGCTCAACGCATGCAGAAGGAATTAAAATATCTACATATACTGGTAGCTTTTTTGAAATTTCTTGTTTTTATTGACAGGGTGACAGAATTGGTAAATTAGAATCTGCTACATGTTATGACGTGACGTGCACAGTTTTTAAATAAAGTTGTATATATCCTATTTCCTATTTTGTAATAGAACTCTCCATACTTTTCCAATAATTTTATGTCTATTATCTCTGCCTTGACTGAATCAGTCTTTAAATATTCAAATTGTTATATAATCCAAAAATCTATTTAAAAACGATGAAAACGCTTATAACAGCATAAAATGCAATGACTCCAATTTTTTTTAGATATACACAAAAACATTGTATTATGTCTGAAATTGTTGAAATTAGTTTTCAAGCAATCTACTGATCTAAAGACGCAAACAAAAATGGATTCTCAACGATAATGTACACTTAATTTGTCAAAATACAGAATACTCCAAAATGGCACAAAGTGTAACGCAAAAGAATCGAAAATTGTTGATAGGTACAAGAAACATTACTTTAACTAAGAAGTTCTTCAACGGATTCCATCTTAATTGGCTTCCAACAGAGTTTTCAACAACTTTACTCTATGGCCGCAAAATTCAACCAATTTTTGAGATGAATTAGTTCCTTCGGCATTTAATAAAAACATAAAAGTTCTAATAGCTCTTCATAAAGCAACTGACAACATGACTTTATGAAAAGAGAAAGTGGAACATCAACAACTACGTGTTTTGATGAAGCTGACAGTTTGACAGTTCTGTTATCGGTTTTACTAGAGATGATGTATTACAACTGTTCTTTAATCTATTGCGTTGTCTATATTTGATACACTCTGGTCACTGGACTTGATAGAAAAATTATTAAATTAAATTGTGACGACACTAAATTGTGGCTAAGCTTACGCTCTTCACTGTAGCTATAATTGACAAACCTCCGGAAATTCTTGACACGAAAAACATCTATGTATTTATCATTACGTTTTGTTTGCAATTTTTAATTCAAGATTTTATCATTTTTACTCAATGCTGTTCCTTGTGGAAATTTTAAGACATTAATATTGTTTCTACACTTCTTAGCTGTATATATTGCTAAAAACTAAAACACTTACACTACTCACACTAAGGCGTACAGACGATGCACTCTGATGAATACGGTCCAAAAGTCTTTTGTGTTCAATTTTCTTTACAGCTGTACCTGCATAATTCTTGGCCTCTTCCGGTAAAAATCGCTGACATATAGGTGATATTAATTCGGGATCAACAGTTTTCACATCCGTTTTTCCAGTTATAAGACTAGTTATGACTCCAACAATGACCACAGTGAAAAACCCTATAGGTGTAACCCAAAAAAATGCCAGCCGGAATAAGGGGAAAACACCAGATTCATCTGGATATTCCTGTAAACACATAACAAAATACTAAATGAACAACGAAAAAAAAAAAAAACTTAAAATATGTATACAAACGAAAATTAAAGCTAAGTTACACGTAAATTTTAAAATATTCATTACTGAGATATTAGATCAGTCTCAGATGGGCTATCCATGACAACAGTTCGGATATAAGAAAATAGAAAAATCACTCAACAATACAACAATTCATAGAGTTGTCAATCGGATTAAGGATGACTTTAAAAGCAACAGATACTGCTCGGGGGTGGTTCTAGACCTTGATAAAGCATTGGACAAAGTTTAGCATAGAGGTCATTTGTACAAACTCAAATGCATCCTACCTAATTAGCTATTTCATCATTCTGAAAATTTGAAGACGAATATTCTGATATACAACCTGTTCATGCAGCTGTACCTCAGGGGAGCGTCTTAGAACCCATACTATATTTATTTAATCTATACAGCTGACCTACCAACGACACCAGATATCACTCCGGCCACATTTGCCGATGATATAGTAATCCTACTATATTCAGAAATATTACAAAACAATTTAAACAAGTATAACAACAGTTAATAAAGGCAATCAGTATACATAACATTTGATACCCACAAAGAAACATGCCCTCCGGTGAAATTAAACGACAAACAAATTCCACATAGTGAAGAAGTCAAGTATCATAAGCTGAGGAATCTTTACTAGTTAATACGCACATTCGTATTAACGTTGAGAAAACATAAAAGTAGCCATTCGCTAAATGGACCCTATTACAATACTTCCTTAACTTACGCTCGGGAAGTATAAAGGCGATAAAACCTTTAATTTATTTGGGCTTCTATTTACGAAGGTCTCGTTAAAATAGAGGCTAAACAGACAAAACACGATTATGGAACCCCCTGTGACAAACTGTCAAAGCAAAAGATGCCTTATTAATTTATTTAAAATTAAATAAATTTTCTTTTCAATTTTGCATACTTACAATTTCCTTCACTGAAGTAATGTTAATGTCGTATTTTTCAAGACAGCCATCCACGGATACTGGCAATTTGTGAGCCACAACTAACCCTGTCGTCGTTGCATAATTACTACCAAAAGCTACAATGCAAGCCATAATATATCCAGAGATGGAACCAACTATAGCGCCTTTTGTATTAGTAAAAGGTATCAGCATTCCAAGAGAAAAAAGTCCGAACATGGTCCCCGCATTAATGGCGGTAAGAGTCGTTGCCACCTGAAGTGAAGATATCAACATATTAAAAACTTGCAGGTACTTAAGGAAATTATTTCCGTAGTGCGCTTAAAAGAATACACATCGTACTTCCCCACATAAGTTCGGGAAGTACTGCACATAAGGGAAAGTATTTGTATCCCTTTTCCGCCTGCTAGACAATTTATTTGTTACAGAATAGGTAACTTTTGACATTTTAGTACAACATTGAACTTGATTTAATGACTAAAAACCATCGATTAAATTTTATCTATCTACCCCATCCAGAAATTTGATGACGTCATCCTTAAATTTATCAATTAAACGTTGATTAAAAAATATGAGGAGATATCTAGTGTTGTTTGTATTCTGATATTTTAAAAATGATCCGCCGCCATAAAATATTATTGACAAGACATTGTTACGAAGTAAATCCATGGTCCGCCTCGGTACGACGTCTGTGCGGCGTTCGAATAAAGAAAAACATAGAAGCGATTCTCCGGAAATCTCGGTGGCGCACTCCAGGACGATCTCGAAGCAGCGATCGCGAACTCTCCAGAAGAAACGCACGGATATTTAATTAGGGACCATCGTCGGGAGTGAGCCAGTCAGATCCAGTCCAGTCCATTAAAGGAGTACAAATCACATTGAGTCGGAATTATTGCCTGTACATTTACGTTGTATAGTTAGTTGTGTATTGTGTATTATCGAGAAATAAATTACTGAAATTTCCCACGCCAATGTTAATTACCCATCACAGCAATAAGATAATTTTAAACACGTAATATAATGGGAGTAGTAGTTATCTATGGAAAAGTACATAATCAAAGGCTTTACTAAACGAGCCCAGCAGTTAATGGACTAATGAGGTATGGTAGGTATAGTAAAGCGTAATTATGTACGAGTTGCATACATAGCTTTATATTTTTGTGATGTGTCTATGGTTTAATAACCCATTTTTTATTTTTAGATACAAATCTATATAAGATATTATATGAAGAATTTCTTTCAATTGTTTTGTAAAATATTAATATGTATTTATTCACTAATTATAGAATATCAACCATATGTTACTAACTTATCTGCACCAAAACATTCTTCAGTAAAACTCACCTCAAATTGTAGAATGGTATACTTTATTTATGGTGTAATATGAAACCTTTAATTTTAACTTTACGCAGATGAGTTGTGTTCAAAATAGAAAATATCAAAATTCTAAAGTTTATGTTAGAAAACATCGAACAAACTTCTTTGAAACTTTGGTAATTCACCGAATGGAATGAATAAATTTAATAATAATTTTTACTTTAATTATAAACTTGCAAAAATACATAGCGGAAGCATGGATCGGTCTACTATCTCGAAAACCACTTAAAACTACAAGAAAACGCTTCAAAAGTGACGTTTCTGAAGAATTTTAACAATTTTCTTGTATCTACGAAGGCCAGAATGCATAAAACTAACTCAAACGTCTCCTTTTCCTAATCTGAGACGATTCTGCATGCTCTAAGTATGTTTCGTCGCTCAGAATCATCAAAAAATGTTGAAACATAGTTCAGATTTAATAAAAATCGACAAAAATACTGTTTCTAACTAAAATTTGATGGTTTCGTTGCTCTTTCCGAGCCCGTAGGGTGTCTGATTGGCTTAACATGTACCTATCTGAAATTTTACATAGGTTTTATAGTTTGTGAGCTCTAACGTTGATATCTCCCTATTTTAAACGTATCTAGTGGTGTGTCATGTGCTATGATTTTTTTGTTGAATAAAAGATATCAGTTATAATTTGGTGCGTTAACTCCAATTTTCGATTGTATAGCAAACTCCGTTTGCGGCGGTTGAAGGTTAACTTGAAATAATAATAAGTTTGTCAAAATAGTTATATAGACATCAAAAGCAATTTAAGCTTCACCAAAAAGTCAATGAATTGTTTAAAGAAAGATGGTATGAAAACAGTGGTTTAGTTTTTTTCTCATATAGTGATCACGCTTCAGAAGCAAATACTGTGTAATTTAAGTACACCATTTAGAGTAAAATTATTGAACAAAACTTCGATGCCCCTTGAAGCACTGTCAATATCACATTCGTCTCAGGAACAATAGTAATGTATTTGGTTATTTTCTGAGATGAACTTATGTGCACCGAATTCAGACAGATTAATTATACTGATATGTACACTAAACATATATGTAGTTATTGTGGTCGTAAAATTTCAACCGATGCGACTTTGAAATAATTTTTAAAATAACTCAGTTTGTACGTTAATGTTGTTAAGATACCATAACACGATACTGGAGCAATATATACTTCATTATTTATATTTTGTTTTCATATGACGTCACCACCTCTTTGGAGAAAAAGAATACAAAATTTCTTGAATTTCGGTGTCAATGTCATCTCTGAGAATTCTGAGATAAACTGTACAATTTTATTGACATTTAAGGATAACCACAGGTGAGTACGTTATGCTGAAGGTTTTTTAACGATATTTATTTACTTAATGATATTTTACAAGGATAAATGTTAGAAAGAATAATTTTGACTAGCATTTTACCATCTTCATAATCATTTTAAAACAGAGTTAAAATCTCGAAATGACGAAATCGGTAGTTTTGGTGATTACTAAAGGCGGGCAAAATTAGTTGGCTGGCTCGAAAAGTTCCCCCACTACAGATTATCACTGCCAGTCCAGGGTCGTGCGACGGAACATGCTGCATGTTCCGTCGCGCGATGGGCGAAGTGAAACAATAACATCGCGCGCTAATGAAGGAAAGTGGTGGGAGTCGCATGAACTAAAACTGCACGTCTCTACGGATTACCTATTAATAAATTTCCGAATCAACAGATAGAAACTGAATTGTGTGATAAAAATGCTCAAACCAATTAACTATTATCATTTACCTGAAAAATTCCACCCAACTGTTCTATTACAAAAACCATAGAATAAGCAACAATGCCTACTCCCAAAACAATAAATTTAGAAATAAGTCTTGCTCTTTCCTCTTTTATTTCGATACGAAATGCTCCTTGCAATAAATCTTCTAATATAACAACAGAGGATGAGTTGAGGACTACCGATAATGAACTGAAAACGAATTTTCAATACATCAATGTTAAGAATGAAAAACCCATTTTACCTTAAGCCTGCACCAAAAACACCAGCAACAAATAACCCTGGCATACCGCTTAGATGTCCAGCTGATTCTACGACAAATAAAGGAAGTATTTGATCGCTTGTTGCAATGCGCTCTGAAGTAAGAGGATCGCAGTCGTGATAGTAGGTGTATACTAGGAGTCCAGCAAAGCAACACATAGATATAAAAAATACAACACCAAAAGTAAATAGTGCGACGGAGCTGAAATGAAAACATTGTAATAATTAGATGGCAATTACGAGAAAAAAGCGTACCATTTAGCTTGTTTATCGTTTGGCAAAGACAAATATCTTTGAACCATGGTCTGATTGACGGAATTGAAAGCTGTCCAATACATAAACCCCCCAATCCACATAACATATATGTTGTATCGGGTATACATACTAGGATAAAAACTGAAATAAGCACATTGTGAGAATATGTACCCTCTATATTTATAAATTCACTTACTCGATAGCTTGTATTCGATTACCTTCCAAGCCGATATCAATTATAGGTTTAAAACCACCAACAGCAACAACTCCGTGAATAACAATGACTACATCAGCAACAAACATTATAGCAGTTTGCCAGGTGTCCGTATAAACCACTGCTCGCAGTCCACCCTATAAAGAAGGAAGATATATGTACCTTATTTAATGGCCATTTAAATTTTTAACTTACCAGAATTGTGTAAAATACACAAACGGCACATGCTATTATTCCAATTAAATGATGATCAATACCTGATACTACAATTGAAGAAAAATATTTGACCATCGACAAGAAAATAATATTTAAAACGAATACACACCTTGACTAAAGGCCAACGACGGAATATAGATCAGTGTGGGTAAAAACAATATCTGTAGAAAACCTGGCATATTAAAATAATAAATTAATTACGTTCTCTGTGACATGAAACTTACCTCGTCAATCAGAAAAAAGATTGAAGCTATTGTCCGCAAATGCCTACTAAATCTTAGTTCCAGATACTAAAAACATGTGTATTAAAGTTTTTATGAAAAAATAATAACATTGTGTCTTGTATCGGGTTAAGCGAAGGCATGTATTTGTAGCTGCACTAATTGAAATGAGAAAACGCTGAACTTTTGCTTCCAATACTTTTGTTTTCTCAATTGATGGGTATTAAAACAAATATTTTTTGCCGTATTGCTCGAATTTAACAGTTTATGTAAACCAACAAAGACTTCCTCCATGACGTTTTTGTTATGGTTAAATTTGCTGAATAAAAAAGTGGCAGGCAAAACTACCACCAGAAAAGAAACTATGCGCGAATAGCAAAACATTAATTTTTGAGGGAAACCTGTTTCCACATCATTTCTTGCGACGCCACTGAAATAGTTGAGCGGTAGAATGATCTCACACAACCGTCGACTCGTTGGCGCGAAGGCATTTTCAGTTTGCACTCTTTCGATACGGTATTCCCCTTTCATGACGACTATACAGATCATTTGTGGGATTATTTCCAGAGGTACAATAATTTAAAAACAGGACACTCAATAACTTGGCTATTGAGTGGAGTTGGTATGTTTTGTGTGTAACATGTTTTATAGGATTTATTTTACCAAAATCGGTTCTTGTTATATTTATATTTGAATACTATAGTTATGGAGGTAGGATGACAGGAGGGAGCATACCTCATTTGACCAATGTTAAAGAAACGCCTAAAGTCACTAGCTATATATCTAATGACTTTAGAAACGCCGACAAAACAGCTCCATGCAACAGCCATTTATGACCCATTCCTTACCCCGTCGAGAGCGGTCAGTTGTCAGCAGAGGATGAGAGGCGCTAACGTTTGGTTTAAAATAGGATCATAGGGAGTAAAAATGTCTTACTATTTGTTTAATTATGGCATAAATACAAATATATTTTTAACAACATCAAAACTAAAATAAATTTTACTGCTGCTACTTTTATGTTCTATCCTAATAAATTATTTTTGTACTTTATGCTCAGTACCCGGCAAACGCTTTCCAGTAAACCACTGGAAGAGTCGGTTTCTGGGAGAAGCTGGAAGAGTAATCATGACCCTATTCGAAAGCACGGCATCAAACTATATATCTCCTCTCATTCTATCTCCATGCTACTAATTTCTCTATTTCGTTTTTTGTCACGTTGGCAACATATTTAAAATGTCATACTTGATTGTCAAATTGAAATTTATGACACTATGTAACTGCCATTTTGTCATTATAATTGTTAGGCGAGTTCATGTGCTGCTAATAATTCATAACAGCTAACACAAACATTTTCTTTAATCATTAATAATAGCCACCCAGTATTGACGGACTGACTATTAAATGTAGTAAACTTATACAAATTGCCGAAATTATTTTACTGGATTAACTTTTATCGTGCTTAGAAAATTTAACTCAAATTTTCATACAAAATCAAAATTCCTGGGCTGCAAACAAGGATTTTGATTTTTGAAAAAGATCTGATAGAAGTAACCACGCCGGGTTTCTTTAACATTGATTACATGATGAATGCTGCCTCTTGTTATTCTACCTCCATGGTTCAGACCGAAGAACCGCAACTCCAGGTCCAGGGGTGGGATTTTGTTTATACCGATACGATACGAAGCGATAACGAAGCGATAAATGACGAGGACGAAAACATAAATCTCAGATGCGAAAGAAAAAGACAACCACATTTTATTGGTGCCGATATTTTATCGTTATAGAAAGAAAATCTCACCCCAGGTCGGGTGTTCACTAATCCGACACATTAATCCAGTCCGCGGTCATCAGATACTCCGATCCGTCAAATATCTACCTGACTCTAATTTGTAATTACACTTATTTAATGCAGGAACACATCTAATTATTTAAACAATATTAGGCGTTCATGGAGTTACAAAATTTGTTATAAATTATAACATGATAGTATTATATTTATAAGAGACTCATTTTCCAAAATCGTATTTAGAAATACATTTTTCGTTACTACACTGTAAATTTGTTGCGAGATATAGTTGGATTCATGTATCTTTTTACACACGTGACCAAAAGCTAACGTTCGAACTAATAACTGTCACTTTGTAGTAAAGTCAATTTTTTTTTAAAAACAATTGTCAATGTGTTGTCATGTTGGTATGAGCCATTAGTTATTTTGATGGTGTTAGGTTGACAACGTAAAATGTCATATGTAAGCCATTTTGACGTGAAAGCGCTTGCGCGACTGAACCGGCAATTTCTTGCGAATTTAAATAAAAAGCAAAATGAGTTCCCGAAAGCAAGGATCTGGACGGCCCCTAACGCAGCGTGAAAAAGAAGCTATCATTAGATTTTGTAAACAACGAAACCCCAAACATTCCTCTTAAAATATTTTTTTTAGGTTCACTCGACAGTCGTTTTCAAAATTATCCATGAATTTGATAATGTTGGTTGCGTAAAAATTCCTGAGAAAAAAGGCCGTCATAAAATAAATTACAAGACTAATCCAGCATTTCATTATATAAAAGAGGAGCTGGCAAGACAAATTCATACATACCATGACAATGGAAAACACTTCACCATTGACGATCTTCTTCAGTTTGTTAAAAACGAGTGCGATTACACTGGCAGTAGGTCTAAATTATACAAAATTATTAAATCAATGGGATATAAATGGAAAAAATTCAACAACAGAAAAATTTTAATTGAACAACCGCATATAATTGCAAAGAGAATTAAATTTTTAAAAAAGTATTTACAATATCTACAATCTGATAACTACATATTTGTCTTTTTGGACGAGACATGGATTTATGAAAATGGAAGTCCAGTAAAAACGTGGGTAAACGAATCTGATCCATTAGGCGTTCCTCAAAGATTAAAAGGGGAGGGTAGAAGATTCACTATTCTCCATGCAGGAACTGCAAGGGTTTTTTTAAAAGATTGTGACCTAATGCTAGGTTCAGATGCAGAACCGCAGAATCTGATTCGGAAGATGATTGGGGGTCTGAACATTTTGAATCTGATTCTGAAACTGAATAAACTGTTACGCATTAAATAAATTTCCATTTTCCTGTTAGCTGTATTATGTTCAATTGCATTTTAACGTATCATTATCGTTTTTTAGTATTGTCCTTTGGTATAAAATGTGCTTAGATCTGTGAAAATTTTCTGACACTGACATTGACCGACATAACCACAAACCTTATCTAGAGAGATTTTACGATACAGTTGTTCCAAAACGAAAGGTTTTAGGGTGGTACAGTCTGGTCTTTGAGGGAATTTTGACACTGACAATTGTTTTAAAAAAAGAATAAACTTTAATTAGTAAAAAAGATGACAATGTTCATAACGTCAACATGACACAAATGTATAGGCTCAGGCAGGTCTTTTGCTTTCGGTGCTTTCCGATTGGGCCTTGATTTTGTTATCTGTAGCATTTAATGAGATTAAAGGACCACCGTTTTTCTTCTCAAGTGCAAAATACTGTATAAAGTTGGCCACCATGTCCTGGGCACGGGAACTCAAAGGTTTGCCCGGCATGTTACGAACAAGAAATAAGATGACAAACATTAAATAGGACAACGAAACAAGAATACTAACAACCAAAGAACTTTACGAAGAACTGAATAGAAAACTTGAATAGAACGACGAAAAACTGCGATTAACCACTCTGAGTAAAACCAAAACTGATAGTGACGTTTGATGAAAAATCGATTAGATTGACTACATCGGTTCCTGTCGCATTACATATTTATATTATGTATTTTATCTTTTTCTAATTCAAGGAACTTTGTGGAAGAGAATAACTGACGTAGAGCGTAATTTGGACTAATTTGAGTAGACAAACTATTTGTGGGGCTCTTCGTTTTTGTAATCCTTAAAACAAAGATTCCTATGATAGGTGCTGTCTGAGCTTATATGATACTTTGGTCACATGTGTAAAAAGATACATGAATCCAACTATATAGAGTTCTGCCGTTGTCTAACTTGTTTACTTACTATACGTCTAATTTCTGACTTATTTAGTTTCACGTTTGATTCTACATATGTATGCATTTTAAAATTTAAAGCGGGACAGTTAAAATTTATGCAAAGTTTAGAAACAGAGTTTTTATCAGTTTGGACCGGAGGCGAGGGATTAAGGCACTCCAGGTACCAGTGTAATGAGATATAACCTTGGACCGGAGTTGATGATCGCCCGTTAAAACAACGGTATTCTTTCATTTACTCTCATTTATTCGTGTAAGCAAAAGATCAACTAATGTAAAGAAAAAATGTGGAGTTACGTTGCTGAAAACGAACCGCCCAGACATTACCATTATTATAAAAAGTAAAAAGTTTAAAAAGTACTGAAATGTTTTCACCGAATTATTTTAGTGCCTCCTTTGAATATGACTATAACCTAATGGACCAAATATGTCAGAAGGCAAGATATCTTTGATCTAATTACAACAACCCTAGTCATTATAGAATATATATAACTGTCATAATCGTGAGAAGACACACGCGTGATATCAGAACAATAAAAGTGTAAGATGGCCTTAAGATTAATAAATTTGTTCAGTTATGTAATTACCTCATACGAGGAGCTCACTCGCAATTTTGTAAATACTGGTAGATAAATGAACGCCACCACTGCACCGCTGGCAGTCATTGCAACCACTATGATCCAGTACTGAGCTCCAAAATTATATATTTCAGCAGGAGTTCCTAACATAGTAACTCCAGATACGTAACTAAAATACTTTAAATTTGTGAGTCTGTATTATAAATAACTCAACTTACCTTGCAATTAACGACATAGCCACCGGAAAAGGCTTCAGATTTCTGTTAGCGGTTAAATAATCCTTCAGGTCTTCACGTTTTCGCTTTTTGTACAATTTATGTCTAAATCCAAAGTAGACTCCTGTCATGGCCGAAAGGAACAAAAGTGCCGCAAACAGGATGTAATCCACTACACCAAAATAATATTTCATTTTCGACATCTTGTACACGGTGTTCTAGTGTCTCCGATCTACTGGTTGTAACACAGATCTCGCGTTGGAATTTGTTCACTTCGTTCTATCTAAAAAATCAATTATTATTCATGACGTCATGCGAATCATTTAAAATATATTGAAATAAAAATTATGGAATTGTAGTGATCATGGACAAGTTACATGATCTCATATATTATGATTCAACGCCAACGAAAAAAACTGTAATAAGTCGATTAGAGTAATAGCGATTAAAAGATAAGGCACACATTATTGTATAATTGATTTTGCAACTGTTTATATTATTACATAGATATGATAAATAACCGCACTACATACATACGTCATATACATACAGCAGTGCACGATCACTGTAACGTACTAATGGTGAAATTTCCCCGCTATTAAAATTCTGCTGATGAAATGATAACCAATGTTCAATGCAGGTGACCCTGGTATAGCTTTGTCACACATAACATCGATGATTTTGTGTCAGGTGCTTTAGCGCTTTTTATTGTTAATTAAGTTTAATTGTAAAAAACCGCGGATTCATTAAATACTAAAGACTCACCAAATTTTTGTCGATATGTTAGCGGTAATGAGTTTGACATTAAAAATAACTAAGAAACCATAACAACCTCCCTTAAAATTCATGTACTGTTTTGTATGTGGCGACTTTTTTTCAATGATAAATAAGACGTAAATGCAAGAAAATACGAATGCAACACATTAGTTAACAAGAGACAAGGGAATGGTGTCTACAGACGTTATAAACTTTATTATTATATACGTCAAAAAAATAAATATCATAAAAAAATAATATTACACTTTAACTAAACTATTCCCACAATCCGTTTACAACTCGGTGAATAAATATTACAGCCACCTTTCACAACTAACTGAAGCTGTTTTCGAAATTACGATTCCGTAAAACTCTGAACAAAGGAACAGTTCCGTAGGAAACACGACACAATTATTAAAAAAATAACCTAATCAGTTTTTCTAATACCGACATGTTTTTATTGAATTTAATCCCTTATTTTTGTAAATTAATAGGTCGTCTTATTTCTGAAGGCTGAAAATTTTTAATCACCCAACTGTAAAAAATGAGTACAAAATTTGAAAATCATTCATTTTCTTTATTAATAGTTAAATAGTGTCACCAACGCCTCGAACGTTTCTTTTGGTTCTCCAGTTACAAAACTACTGATATTCCTTCTCGTATAGATTTCAACTTTTTCCTGCAGTAAATTGTTTAATGCTTCTTTTTTAAAGACATCCTTCGGATTAAAAACATCTCTAGACGTACTCTCATCTGCTTCTCCTTTGCTTTATTTGATCATATTACACGTTTTTAAGAAAATCATCGTTTTTTATTACAAAATTTGGAAATCTTTTTAGGATGATAAACATGCGTTACCCGTGAATTATCTTCGGTTTTCATGAGTGAAACCATGACGCGCAACTATATAAGTAACACGGTATTAAACTGTTTTTATTATTTGAAGAATTACTATTCCCTCGCTAACAACAAAGATTTTTAATTCCTTGTTATTTAATACACTATGAACGTTTAGAAAACAGCCCAATACGTATAATAAATAGCAACAATATAGAGCGGAATTTCAATAATATGGCATTTCATCATATTTAAATGCTTAGTTTATAAAAATTAATTAATAATGCACATTTACAGATTGTTTATGGTGTCAAAACTTAAAAAACACTGAAAGACATCAGATATGTTTCTATAAACACATGTTTGATAAAAGATAACAATCAAAATATCTTAACAAGTAAAGAAACCTAAAAACTCCCCCTCATATTGAATGACTGTAAGTAAGATGATGTTGCAAAGGTTTAATCAAAACAATATTTAAAAAAATTAGATACTTTACCAATGGGTCTCCGACAATTATATGTACCAATTTTTTAAATATCACTTGAGATTTTTTTCCAGCTTAGTTGTTTGCTGAGTTATTGCTAAAGCTGACTTTAACACCAATTTGAGTATCTAGTATACAAAAATCTTCTTCCTTCTCAAAAAAGTGTATACGTTACTGTTACCATTGTTTAAGTATATACTTAAACAACTTAACTTAACGTAACTTAAACAATGCTGATACTGTCCAGTATTGTGACAGGGTCGATTTAAGCAATGTTTGATATTCGTACTATGTAAGTACCTATATAAAATACCACCACATCCCCGTTTCCGGCTGTCGGTGTAATGTCTATCGTCTATTGGCGATTACACAATGGATTACTTTGAAAATTTTAATTGTACCTACATACTTTAAGATTATCAAGTACTATCAGGGCCAAAAAAATGGAAACACCTAACCTGCTCATGTCATCGATTTTTATTTAATTTTTCAATTGTATTTGTTAAATTTATTTTGTGTCTGCTTTAGAATGAACGCGTCTGATTTCCTGACGTCTTTTAACACCAACGTGACAGAAAAATTGCACTTACAATAGAAAAATTAAATAAAAATCGATGACATAATATTAGGTTAGGTGTTTCCATTTTTTTAGCCGTGATAGTACATGTAAAATGTCAACCATAATTTGTTTCTTCACCCTTCCAAAATACTGGTGACGTCATCTTAAACGACTGTCAAATCAATACTACTTCAAATATGCAGGATACCTAGAATTCTCTTTTACCTCCGCTTTACAATCCGATATATTTTTCTTCATTTATACGAACGTTTTCACAATTTTTTTAATATTGTACATATAAACAAACGGATTTATTTTAATCTCTAAAAAAATCTATAAGGTTAATAAAAAGAGTTGCATGTCGTAGACAACAACAAATGAATGTTAAAAATTAATTTTTCAAATTAGATCCCAGTGTATTTAAAACGATTTAATTTGACGTCACACACAATGCTGTACTTGAAAAAATAAGATAACTCCGGACCTGGGCTTTTTTCAATTCAACGTATTTACATTTTATTGACAATTTTTCCAGAATTTCCGTTTTTTTTTTAATTTTGTTGACTTGCTGTTTTAATGGAAAAAAACTGAATAAACGTACAGAAAGTCAGACACTATCATAAAAATTAAGCTTAATATAACTTAATACAAAGATTATATATCAGCTGAATCTCGTCTCAGATACAAGTAGATTTTTATTGTTGTTACTTAATCGCACTAAACTCTTTATACTTACTTAAGTAGTGTGCAAAGTCCACCGGTGATGTGTATTTCGGTTATAAAGTCCAACTATCCATTGTCATTATTCATTGACATTCATTTAAAGAGTCGGTATATATGAATTTAGATTATTAAACTCTGTAACTTTAATATTACGTTTTTTTGTTCTCAAAAAAATGGAGCAAATAAAATATTCCATTACTACTCTATCTCTGAACAATGAAAATATTATCGAAATAATAATAATAATTAAACAACATAATACATCAATTCACTGTCACCATATTTTTTTAAAAATCTCTACAAATTAACAATAATTATGTATAGACCAAACAGTTTTTTCATTATACAGTAGCGTTTCTTGGGCTTACCCCAGAAATTCAGATCACCAAATCCAATCCATCAGAACAAATATTATAAGTAAAGACTTATCACCACAGTGCTTTGTATTATAAATATATTAACAGTTTTCAAATTTTCCACAGTTTGCTTTAAAATTTATTTTATGTCTAACATGTATGTATTCTTTTTAGTTCAAATGAACTATCCACAACGAATGTATGTGTATTTAATTTGTAGATAGATTTTAGAGTAAAAAAAAAGGTAAAACGTTGGAAAATATTCCCAGATTACTACATATTAAACGAAGAATGTTTATGACAAAATTTAGGCCTACGTTATTATTTCACTATCAAGACCATACAAATTTTGCTTTTTGTAACAAAATCAGTAATAAAAATTTGGCCGAAGATCATTTCGACTAAACCTTTTGTCCTCTCTGAAGTACAGTTCAACAAATCCTATTTTTCTGAAAGATTATAAAACCTGATTTTGCGATTTTTTCTGAGATAACCCTACAACGTAAAAAAATATGGATGTAAACCACAAGCATAGACGGATTTCTGTTTTGTAGATTTTAGATGCGATGTGTCGGGCAAGATTTGGTGATGACGTCATCAATTTGCGGGAGAGGGGAGATAAAATTTCATTAACATGCCTACGAAAACCTCAAAACGTCTGCGATCATCTAAAAACCTTCTTCGTTAAAATTATTTTAATCAATGTCATATTTAAATTTTAATTTTTTGAAAACACTATGTGTTACTTCAGGGACAAGGAAGTTCTGTCTAAATAATCTTGGACCAAAGTTTTTGTAACTATATCAAATATTTTATACATGAACTTGCTTTATTTTTAAGTATAAATGATTGCAAAACGCAGAATTAAATATTTACTTGTTACACAGTTTGTTTCACTGCCAGTTGATCGTTGAGAAATGGTTAACTAGTATTTACAAAAAAAAAGGACAATTATTATCAATATATATTCGTTGTAGCTCATCGTATTACACTACAGCAAATCATCATTTATTTACTTCCATTTGTAAGATTTTTTTGTTTTCAACTTTCTTTCAAAAACACAAAATATAAACTTAAACAAGAACACATCACGAAAAACAGTGTAAATATTTAAGAAGTTGGGCGTAATACATATAATATTATATCAAGATGTGTCTCATCAAACATCAATGAGAACTGTTCTGTCATCCTGGTTAAGGTTTTCCAAAACCAGCAACCAGCAGCAGTATTTCATCTTTTTTTCTAATTCTGTTCTCCTCGCCCATAGATAATGTAAATTCGATGTAATCACACGTTTAGGTTATATCTTGAAAATGCAGGGTAAGTCGCGTATAGTACCTCCATCATTCCACTTCAAAATTTTCTGTAATTATTTAATTTTCAAAACTTCCAACTTTTTTTATTATGTTTATTTTTTTATTCAAATGCATTTTGTACATTAACTGCAAAATGATTACTTATTATCAGTTTTATGTTACTTTATTAGTGGAGCAATGTCGAATTTCTGGTGTCATGTTCAAGGCTGCCAAAGTCAACACATTGCAAGTTGCTTGAATTAATTAATTAGCAATTACTGATGCTAGACTCACCCGTCAATTATTTTGGGCATATTTACCTGCACAATTGATCGAATAAGTCGAAAAATAATCCAGTCTACAATAATAACCATGACCCGCTTAATAAACAGTATCTAACTTATTTTTGGCCGGTTCTTTTTCACAGTTCAGGTGTTAACAGAAACATTTTTACTTCGGAAGTATAAACTAAATAAATATGTATTGTAGTAGGGTCCATGCCTACTTTCATGTTTTCTCACCGTTACATACCTACGTCCTACAGTAGGAAAACATGGGTTTGTTTCGTCTATCTGTCTTCTGCCGTCTGTCAGTGTTTCCAAAAATACAACACCAATTGTTCTCAAGTTTTAAATGTATGTCAGGAATATTTAGATGATAAAACCCTAACGAAAATTTATTTGATTGTCCCCACCAACAATGTGGTG